TGTCCCTGCCTATCTCCATCACTTCTCTCTTGAAAGAATTAGCAGAGCAATTGAAACTCTTGTAATAAATATGACTCAATACAGCGAGGGAAATACATGGGCCCACCTTTTCTGGAGGTCAGTTTGGCAGTGTGCCAGAAGTCTTGAATATGTTCATACCCTTTGATTTAGTAACTCTACTTGTAGGTTTTTATCAAGAAAAGAAAGATCTGCATGCAGATTTAGGTACAAGGGTGTTTATCACAGCAGTGTTTATAATAAGGAAAATAGGAAATGAGGCTGTGTCTTAAGATGATTACATTATGATCTGTTCCTATAGTGTCATAGCATGCAGTTAAAAATTATGTTTCTGAGGAATTTTTAATCACACAGGAAATGTTGACCATACAGTGTTATATGAGAAAAAGGTATAAATACAGTGTGATCTCAAACATGTGACAGTGCATATCTTCATAGGAAAAAGGAAGAAAATTCAATGAACCATTGTTGCTGTCTTTTAATGTTGGAATTTTGGGTAATTTATATTTTTTACACATTTCCATATCTTTCAAAGAGCTACAATTTGGATACTTTATAGGAAAACTTATACTTTTTTTATAAAATATAAAATCTGTTTTGATTTTTAAAATGTTTACAGTTTTTTCTTAAGTAGCACAACGGTTATTATAGACAATTTGGAAAAAGTATTGAAAATACACGGAAGTGCTGGCCAGTGTGGCTCAGTTGTTTGGAGTGTCATCTCATAAATCAAAAAGTCGTGGGTTCAATTCCCCATCAGGGCACATGCCTAGGTTGCAGGTTTGGTCCCTGGTCAGGGTGCATGCGAGAGGCAGCTGATCAATGTTTCTCTTCCTCCTCCTCTCCCTCCCTTCCCTTCTCTCTAAAATTAATTGAGTGAGGATAAACAGAAAAAAAAGTGCACTGAAGCCTCTAGAAATTAAGTTGAATGAATAGAATAAAGAGAAATAAAGTTATTTTTGAAGTCATGATTATTATATTTTTGACTATATAATATTACTGAAAAATTTGGGTGAACAAAATTGAAAAATATATTGAAAACAATGACCCCTTGTCCCCAACACTCAAGCCATCACCATTGTACTGGTATTTACATAATTTTTTGGGGGTACACATAGATAATACATATACATGCATACAAATTGGAATCATAACTCATTGTTATTTTTGTGTCCTGATTTTTCTCTTAATATTAGATCATGAGCAGACAGACTATATTATGAGGTTTGTATATGAGCCCATATAATAGATCCACATAGAGGTTAGTTTACAAAACACTTGCAATAACTGCTTCAACCTTCTAGCTTAAACATGTCCTCAGCCTTCTCCGGGCATTTCTGAATGACAGAGAATCTGGATGTGCTAAAGTAAATTGGCTAGCTGGTACTGGGATTATCCCTAGTAGAAATGGAATGGGGTCCAATGGGAGGAACCTTACAGTACTGAGCCTGTGTCCCTGGCCATGTTATCGAGACAGGGGCCATGAGAGATAGACATTGTATTTACTCACTAGGAACTTTAACATGCAAAGTGCATTAGCTGATAAAATTAACGTTGGGAAGTAAGGGCTATCCCTACTTTGGCAGGATCCCCTTGTGCCCTTTGATATGTTAACAGCCCCAAATAAGGACTGCAGCTGGCAACTGTCTAGTCATCCTAGGAAAGGTCTATTGATGTGCTATAAGTTGATGAAACATTAGTCAACTACATGTTCTTTTAGTACACCATGCCCTTCCAAGCACTTTTGAGGCTTGAGATTATGCCCAAATGAAGGAAAGTATGTGTTAAAAATTTATACAGACTACCAAAAAAGCAAGACGTTTGTAGATGCTTATGTTAGCTGTTCTTCATTAAGTACTTGATCTTGGGTGAGAGAATGGATGGGTGTAACTCTGAGTTTTCTTAACAGTGCAAAAAGTATGATTTGTATCATTTAGGAGGAAGCTGCTTTTCTCAGGAATTTTGCTGATGTGGTTACTTAATATTTGCACACCACACTAGGGCTGTGAATTACAGTCATTACAGTAAGTAAAAAGGAAATTAATCTTTATATGTAAAAGACAGCTTCCTAATAATGTAAATACAAGGTGGTAATTTATAGCACCAAGCAAATGGATTGAATAGAAAGAGCTCCCAATCTCTTAAGGTCATGGGCTAATTCTAGAATGCATTCTCGTTCATTAATCAACGACCAGCCCATTGTTTATAAAGGAGTAACTAATGGCATTTAATAGCAGAACTGAGGGACTTTTGACTTGTTTCAAGAATTTTTAATGTTTATTTGATGCAAGACAAGTGGCTGAGGATAGAAGTTGCAGGAGTACATGATGTTCTTTTTTTAAATGACAGGATATTTAAATAAATAACTTTTATATGGAAAATTTTGCCTTTTCTTCACTCTAGTTTTTCTCATGTTAAATTGGTGCTATTGACATTAAGAATGATCACTTTTTAGAGCTGGAAAATACTTCCAATCCCCTAGCTCAACCCTTGTACTGAGCTGACTTTTGGCAAAGAAGGTAGTATGTAAATGAATGTGTGGAGAAGATTGGGGATTGACCTGCTGTTTAATTCTAAATTTTTCTTTCCCTAATTATTTTGCCTAATCCTTTGTCTTCATCTTTTTTTATATGTATACATGATGTCTATGATTTTATCTCTTTTAATATACTGTACTGTAAAATCTCTTGCCTGGGTTGACATTTCTCTATTCCATGCTTTTCACTCAGTTGTCACTCCTACCCTCATAGATGTCTGGGACATTTCACAGCATTGGAAGCAAGAGCCATTAAGCATTTCCTTTAGCTAAATTGCTCCCAGTTTTATAAGGCCTTGGATCTTCTTAACTGATCTTCAGCAGCTTTGGGTTAATTTGTGTCGTGTCCTGTTGTCCTGTGTCTCCCCCGCAACCCCTCTGCTAATGGATAATATTTGACTTTGCCAGGAAAGATTAAAAACCTACCGTAAAAGATTTTTAAAGTGATCGTAGATCTAACAAAACTCTAAAGGTAACAATAATATCACCTCATGTATTATGGAGAGTGTCCATTTTTTGAGCATCTATTGTGTGCCAGACATTATCCATATGAGGTGAGTTAGTAATAGCTCCATTTTATGGATGAGGCATCAGAGTCAGAGAGATTAAATCTTTTGTCCAATCAGGGTCATAGGGCTCATAAGTAAGAGATCCCATGCTTTTCCCACTATGTCATCCTGCTTTAGATATGTAACATGTTACAGTGTTTATTTCCATCCCTATATTAAGTGCTCATTCATGAGCCCTAGGAATAGCAGTCACTTGATATTTACAGCATAAATTCTTAAGCCTCCAAACTGAAAATTGAAAGGGAAATAAACCCTGATCACAGATACCATATTTCAAGTGCTTGTAAACTATTTCCTTTCTGACTCTCTTTTCAGACACCAATAGCGTCACTTAAAACAGACTCCCTGAGCAGCATTTTTCATGAATACAAGCAGTTGCTGCAAGGGAGATCTAATTTCCAATTAACTCAGCTTCGGATCGTTGTGGAACTCTGGTTTACACTGCTCCTGGCTGAGTTCTCTCTTAGTCACCATGTGTCTTATAATTGGCTTCGGGCATAATGGCTGTGAAGGGATGATTGCTAGGTGTCTAAGGACTACATAGTTTTTCTTCAGCGGTTAAGACCTGAGTCTAATCCTGAATATTGAATAATGGGGGGAAAAGTGGAGATGAGCATTGCAGAGATTAGTGAAGTTGCTATTGATGGCTTTGGACCGTGACCTGAATGTCTTAATTTGTGTTCCATTGCTCATTGTAGAAGGAAATGTCATAGGAAGAAATGGGGGAGCAGGATGTGAAAGAATCATACAACAACATCAGAGAGCTGCTTGTTTGTTAGAGGGAACAGATGCAAAAGTTATTTTCCCTTTTTCCTTACGGCAGATTATGTTTCCATTGATACTGTACCTAATTGGTTTGGATTTTAGAATTTAAATTGTGTCTGCCATCCTTAAAATGCCTCTGAGGCAAAAAAGCACAGGTGAAATAGTGTCATTTAACAGGGCCAGTAAGAATAAGACTAAGGAGAAATGTATTTAAGAGATTAAAATCTTTAATACTTATGTTGTGGGTATGTGGTGTACAAAAAGTAAATCTGAAATAACGTGGTATTCTTACATATTTTTTCAGTTATTTTTCTCTGTTATCTGTAAATATACAAATTATTTGTTTGAGTCTGTTATACATTTCATCTCTGTCTCCCCCCTCCCCCCGCCCCCACTGGAATTAAAACTCATGGTATTACTGTATAAATCCTTTAGGAACTCAGGGTCAACTTGGATACCCCAATTTGTAGCAATGGCACAAGGAACTCTTGAGACCTGATTTTTGTAAAACTTATGTGCTTACCTCTTGGGATGTTTCATTGTTTTCCTTGGCCTCAAGCTTTTCCTAGGCAGTTTTTGTACGTGTCATGTATATATAAGGAGGAGAAAATAAAAAATTGTTTCCAAGTAAAACAGCACCTTTTGGAATACACCTGTCCTGGTGTCAGTTTACAATTAGGAGGCAGTATTCACATTGGTTTAGATTCTTGAAGCAAAAAGTTCTGGGAAACTTAATGTTATAAACTTCATGGACCTATTTTTTTCTAGTTCTTTATTTACCATGACTGAAGGACAAAGAAAAGTGAGTGCGTGCATGGGTGTGTGTTTGTTTTGTATTGACTCCTGATAAGTTGTTTGTTTAAAATTTCATTTTTCCACCTCTCTGACCTACATATGTAAGTGACCTTGTGATGTAGATTTCTTTTCATTGACAAATGATCAGAGAAGCCAAATTCACCAAAAGTAATCCACCCTATTTCCAAGCTTTTTTTTTTTTTCAATTTAATTTCATGGTTTTTTTGTTTTCAAATTTGCCTGAAAAACACTTGGTTATTTAATTACTGAAAGCCCCCTTTCTTTCTCTGTTTTTTTTTTTGTTTGTTTTGTTTTAGAATTCTTCAAAGAACTACTAGAAAATGCAGAGAAATCCCTGAATGACATGTTTGTGAAGACATATGGCCACTTATACATGCAAAATTCTGAGCTTTTTAAAGATCTCTTCGCAGAGTTGAAACGCTACTATGTGGTGGGGAACGTGAACCTGGAAGAAATGCTAAATGATTTCTGGGCTCATCTTCTGGAGCGGATGTTCCGCCTGGTAAACTCCCAGTACCACTTCACAGATGAGTATCTGGAATGTGTGAGCAAGTATACTGAGCAGCTGAAGCCCTTTGGAGACGTCCCTCGGAAATTGAAGCTACAGATTACTCGTGCATTTGTAGCAGCCCGTACTTTTGCTCAAGGTTTAGCAGTTGCAAGAGATGTAGTAAGCAAAGTCTCTGTGGTAAGTGCCATTTGCATTCTGTGTTTTTGTTTTATTTTATTTTAAAAGATAGTTTGGGGGAGGTAGAAAAATAAATCAGTAGAATTCTATTGACTCAGTAACACTCTTCAATTCTTTTGCTTCATTTCTCCTACACTTTGTGTTTACACATTTACCTTATATAGTTATTAACAATAGTATGATGAACATCTTTTTATATATCATTGTCATTATTTCCAGTGGATTTCTTTAGCAGGTATTTTTAGATGTAGGATATATGTTCACTTTGGAGCCTTAATTTAAAATGGGTTTAATACCTCCTCCATACTCTTTCTTTTTTAGCTCGTATTCCACTTCCTCTCCATAGGAAGAACCATACATAGGCATGCTCTCCATTAGGTTGTTTTGAATGAGTCCATTTGAGTCTACTAGTTACAGCCTAGAAAAGCATTTAACATCCATTACTACATGTTTGCTTGATATATGGTATATCCAGGGACTTTAAAGAAGACAGCTTTCTATGACAATTAATGTCGACCACCAGCCCTTGACTTATGTGTGGCGTTGTTTATAGAATTACCAATAGAGAAAATGAAATTGCAGTATGTGGGCTAATGCAGATGAAATGAGTCACATTTTCCTCCTTCGTAAATTAAAGGAATTGGGCTAGACTCGTATTTTTCAGATTGTGTTCTTTGGAGCCAGCTAAGGAGGTACTTCACAGGCCTCCTTAAAATAGAGGCAAGGGAGATGGGTGTCTCCTAGTGGGCGAGACTCTGCATCTATGACCTTATCTCATTGCTCCACCAGAGAAGCTTTGGTTTCCTCAGTTTTATACTGTAGGGTTTTTTTTTAAGCAAGACTTGAAGGGGAGAAAGGTTCTGTGGTCCTTTCATTTCCCTAACTCCCCAAGGTGAAATTCTAAAACTTCTTGAAAGCTCTTCCACTTCTATCCTTCCATCATTCAATACAAGTGAAGAAATATAATATATTGGGCCAACATTATCTTTGCAAGATTTATCTTGGTGTTATTACCTTTAGGCCCTCAAAGGAAAAGCCAAATTTTTGTCCATTTCTAAAAAGCTTGGAGATAAAAGAACAGCAACTTCTATTTGGTTGGCCAAAGAAGTCAATTACATTTTTTCTGTAAAATAAAAGATACATTTTTCATTTTCACCAATAATTTTATTGATTTGAATATTTTGAGTATGTCAGCTATCTCCCGCTAGTGGCTCTAGTTGGTAGAGGCCAGGGGTGCTGCTCAGCATCTTCCAATGCATAAGATAATGCATAAGCCCCACAGCAAAGAATTATTTGGTCAAAATGTCAATAGTACCAAGAAACATTGCAAACCACTTTTGACATGTTTGATCAGTCACAGCATGTTCTCCATATACTCACATCTTTTTTTTTGCATTTCAGTAACATTTTTACCTTTCTTGAAATAATAAAGCATAAAGCACTAACAATGTTGTATATGTTCTTCTTTTTTTAAAAAATTTATTTTAATTTATTTTTTCAAATACATTTGTCTCTGCCTCCCCCCACCACTTTCCCTTGCCCCCTCCCTCCTTCCCTCCCTCAGCTCTTCCCCTTTGGTTTTGTCCATGAGTCCTTGCTCTATGTTCCTTGACTTTCCCTTTCTCTTCCTTTTCCCCACCCCCCCTCCCTCCTTCCCTCTTGTCTCTGTTGATTTCTTTTCCTTTCAGTGTTGCTGGTCTTATTTTCCTTGCATCTTTGTATTGTTGGTTAGGTTCCGCTTATAGGTGAGATCATATGGTATTTGTCTTTCGCCCCCTGGCTTATTTCGCTTAGCATAATGCTCTCCGGTTCCATCAATGCAATATTAAAATGGCTGCAAAAACTTTAACAATTTCAGTTTTTTTAATGCATGCCATATGACAGCTGTCACAAAACAATCTAACAAAATTGTTTTGAATGAAGTTAAAAACAACTAAGCACTCCTAGAGCCATCATATGGAAAAATGTAACAGACATTTTGGCCAACCCAATACTTGTTTTGAGGATTGGAGGAATTGTCAATAAATACTGGACAGCAATGCAAACACTAAAATATCAACCTGATTGCGTATCAGAAAATTTGTTTAGAGTTAAGGTGATGATATAATTATTGCCTGAACTGGAACACTTATTTAGATCGGGAGGTACTTTTTGATTATCATACCCAGACAACATGTGCTGCTAATTTTTAATAAGGAATCAAGACTGTCCTGGACAGACCAGGATCCATAGTCACCCTAGTTAGAGAGGAAACTAACATTAATCAAAGTGAAGATAGAGATTCTAAAGCATTGTGTATTATTAAAAAACTAGGTGCCCGTAGGATATTTTATGTAAGAACTGGGCGATAATAAGGATTCGTTAATTGATTACATTAATTATTACAGTTTGATTGTTCTCTCATCTCTGGGTGAGTAACTGTCAGAAACAGTTCTATTTCTAGCATGTTTTCTTTTCATTTTTTTTCTTCCTGATATATTCATTTTGAATTGTAAAAACATTGTTTGGGGCATATAAGGGTGAGTGGGTAGGTGGGAACAAGTGGGGAGATGATTGTTGTAACTGAAGGAATAATCTGGTTCCTGAACTTCTGCCATCCTCAGCAACCATTATTAATCTTGGAGGTGCTCATGTCACAGTACTTCAACAGAGACACAATTAACCCAAATCAAAGTTATTTACAGTATAGTTCGCCTAACGTTTTCCCTCCTGCAACAATTTCTTGTGTTCATCCTAAGCTGAATAGATGGAAAAGCGCTGCTCTGTGGTTTGCGTGTCTGTGTATGTGCATGTGTGCACACACAAGTGCTGGAAATAAAAGCAAGGAGAGAGTCCCCTTGCAAGTGTTTGAATATTTGTGGTTTATTTACATTAACCACCCACCCACCTTCTTTTGAATTGATTCTTATGAGGAAGGACCAGGCAGCTGGCTCAAGACTGTCTTGTTAGCATTGCTTTGCAAGGTTGGAATCCCCTTAGGGAACTGAGATTCCAGAAAACCCAGGTTGGGGTGGAGGGTGATTGATGAAACAAGGAAGCAGTTTAGAGACAACTCAGTGCAGTTTAAAAGACTAAGGGGTAAAAAGAGTGCCATTGTCCACATCATCCCACCTCCCGAAGGTTAGAGAAAAGTAAGCAGTTGTGGCTTCAGTGTGTTGCGTTCATCTTGACATGGTTCTCAAGATTAACTGTGGAGAATCAGTAAGGTTGACATTTGGTTTTAAGTTTCATACACCCTTACCTATGCAATAAAGAGTATGTGACCGAAAATGAAATAGTCACAATTTCTGATGGTCCTTTTGGCATGATTTTTTTTAAAGCAGGAAATAGATTTCTTGTAACTTCATATTGTTAAGTTGTTTGAGAAAATAACTTTCTAAATATAACTCTAATTTTTTTAGAATTGATCTTAGTTTATATTCATTGTATTTTCACATCCGCATAAGAAATATTTGCATAGTTATGAGAATGCAGTGAATATAAGCTATAGAGCATATATACTTTGAATAAACATTACTTGCCAATTGTTTAGTTGACAACATTGTATTATGACTACTTTAAATGTTGTAATTTAAACTTTAAAAAATATTTTGCTTCACTACTGAGTTTCTTCTAGACTTATGGACTGACTTGAAGTCAAACTCTTCAACTAAATTGGGTTATCAAAATTATATATGCAATAGTAAGCGCTGACTGACGTGGCTGAGTTGGTTGGACATCATCCCACAAAACAAAAGGTCAGTGCTTTGATTCTTGGTCAGGAAACATGCCTGGGTTGTAGGCCAGGTCCCCCATTGCGGGCATGTGAGAGGCAACCGATCAATGTTTTTCTCCCTCTTTCTCCCCCCTTCCACTCTCTAAAAATAAATATGTAAAATCTTTTTAAAAATTATGCAATAATAAGACACTCAGGAATCACATCAGCTTCTAAATGTGCTAAAACACAAATTATGTAAAAACATGTCATCTATGTAATATTTCTGCTTAGAAGAAGCATGCAAGGAATACTTTGAAAAATATTTTTTAAATTAATTTTTAGAGTATGCCTACCAGTTAAACAGATTTTGTTTTGGATTTTTGGGGTGGTTTTTCTGTTATCTATCTATCTATTTATTTATTTTTGAATTTATGGTGATAGAAGGAAAATTACAAAAATTTTTATTGAGTTTATTGGGGTGACTGGTTAATAAAATTATATATGTTTCAGGTGTACAATTCTATAGCACACCATCTGTACATTGTATAATTTGTTCACCACCCCAAGTCAAGTCTCCTTCCATCACCCTTTGTTCCCCTTTACCCTCTTCTACATCCTCTATCCCCCTTCTCTTCTCCTCTGGTAACTTCCATGCTATTGTCTGTCTCTGAGGGTTTTATTTTAATTTAAGGTACAGTGTTACAGGGAAAATAGTAAATGATCTGGCTATCAAAAACACATTTCAAATCGAACATGTTGAATAATCTACATTTGATTAATAAAAGAAATAAGCTTTTCTACCACTTTTGGTACCCAGACAATGTTTTTTGTTTTTTTCTTTTCTTCATATGGGTTCCCACTCCTGCCAACTGCTCTCCCAAATGTATAGTAGTTTGCAGGTGAAACTAGAACAGCCTAAGAGATGAATATGAATGTTCCTTCTTTTGGTGTCTAATAGAATTAATTACCTTGGGTCTGAAAAACAGCTTTCAGAGTAGAGAATGTATTTCCTACTTAAAGAGAGCCACCTCACCTACTTCATATATAAAGAGGTCTTTAATATCCAATATGAAAAGCATCACTGTCTTGGGGCTAGTTATTACATAATTAACTCAAAGATGTCTCCACTTTCTCTTTATCAGTGTATACCCTGCTTTTCCAGTTCGCTTTTACAACAAAAGGGTTGTGGATACATTGGACAAGGATTTGATTATCACTAGGCATTTTTTTTAAAAATCGCCACCAGAGGATGTATTTTTATTGATTTTAGAGAGAGGAGAAGGGGTGGGAGATGAGAGACAGA